CAGCCGCCCGTAATGGCTATTATGACTCTTAACAGCACCCAGAATCCCAAACCCCATTCAATGATTTTCTATGATTTTATGATTTTTCTCCCTACTAGTTGAGTCTCAAACATCCCCAAAACGCACAACACCTTATAGTACTTGAATCATAAACATTCTCACACTCAACACCTAAAGATTTCGCATATACCACATTAAATCAATCATCAATCATCATGCTTCTCATCAAATCTTCAAAAATTCATTTCAATATCCAATGTCTGAATTTAACACATATAGTCACACAAATTCCATTAATTAATATAGCATGAAATTATAATTAATTAGAAGCAACCTAAAGATGTTTTGCACAAACCCCTTCAAGGTTCAATTCATTCATCAATGAAGGAAATTAAAGAGAAAAAAGAAAAGAGGTTAAAGACTCATCTTTATCCTTCAAGCTTAAAGACACTCATATCATGAACAGTCCCCCCCCCCCCCCCCCTTTACCTTGAATTCGCGGAAAACTTTAATCTTGGCTATGGAAGCTCTCTTCTCCTACTCTTACTCTGCCATGGCTTTTCTCTATTCTGCTGACAACTTTTATGTATTCTCAAATTTTATCCCTTCTTTTCTATTAAAAAAAACCCTATTTTAATTTTATTAAATCTACTAAATCCACTCAACTTTCACTAATTTCATTCACCACTCTAATTTAATTAAAAAAATCTATTTTGCTCCCCAACGACTTTATTCCTCATTTTCCCTATTTTTTTAAATAAATAAAAATTATAATAATTTCTACTAAAAACACAACTATCCTCAAGAATACTAATAAAATAATTTATGTTATTCTAAACTTAGTTAAAAGTAAAATAATCAAAATCGGGATGTTACACAGTACAACATCCGACCCTGGTCAGCAAGTCACGATGGATGTTGATAGGTGTGAAGTTTCTGATTATGATTCAATCATATTTATTACAGATTGTTTAGCAATGTTTATGTGATTTGTTTGACAATTGTTGAAGATCAAATCAGATTTAAATGAAAATTTGAATTTGAATTTGAAATATATCAAATCATATACTTTATTGGAGAGTTTTATGGAGCAAATCAAATCCAACAATATCAACTATTATTCTGGATGAAATCAAATCAAAAATCCAAAGGAGAAAATTTCATAATTGCAATGCTATATAAGAAGACTCAAACCTCATGTTTGAGGTGTACATGTGTTGAAGATTCTTTTTGTTAGGATTTATCTTTTGAGTCTTTGCTTGTATTATTTTTGTGTACCACGCTAGCGCCTCCATTTATATCTTAAAGCATAAAGTTTGGTTTGATAATGGAGTTGTAAAACTTTTTTCCAAGATACTAAATTTATAAGCTTGAGAATAAAGTCACTACTACAAAACGAGCATACAACAACGCCAAAGTCACCACGGTTCTTGCAAACACCGTGGTGACATCTCTAAACTCAGGCGCTAACATTTTTTAGTTTTTTGATTAAAAATTGTTAGGATATAATAACAGTTGTTGAATTAACCATGGTGATACAATCAAGCTTTCATGAGTTCAAACCTCATCGCCCTCAAATACTTTATTCCTTTAATGTTAAGGCGCATATTTTCTTTTTTATTTATTTTTAAATAAAAAATAAAAGGGATATCACTATGTTTATTTTTGTACAACCGTTGTGATATATTTTGTGAAATTGTTTCTCACTACGGTTGAACTTTGCAACTGTTGTGAAATTGTTTCTCATAAAATAAAAAGATACTAGATACTTTATTTCATTCATAACACACATGAGTTCCCTAGTGAACGAGACGACAGGGATATCAAAATCTTCTAAGAGTGTATATCATACTAAGAGTTAAGCTGACAGAAATTGAAAAAACTTAAGAAATTTTTATAGAAATTTTTATTAAATAAAAAAAATGCATTAATAATCATATCTAAATCCTGTGGCTGAGAGACATTTTGACCAAGTATAATCTGCTTCATCCTCATCACCAGAATCGATGATGACTGGCCTTTTCACCATTCTTATTTTTCTTCTTCTTCTTCTTCTTATTTTTCTTGATCTCCTCTTTCTAAGAGCTCTCCTAAGTCTCAAAAGTTCAGTTACACAAGCACAACCTCTTTTCACTTCTTAATTTTGCACAAGAGCAACCTCTACAGCCACAATAACTTCTTGGTTTTGTACAAGAGCAACCTCTACATCCACAACAACTTCTTGGTTTTATACAAGAGTAACCTCTATAGCCACAACAATTTCTTGATTTTTATTCATCTTCTTCTCTGATTTCTTTGGATTAAGTTCTTTTTATGCTTTGTTTTAAAGAAGAATTATGCTTTTATATTATTTCTTCTGATTCTTCCTCTTATCTGATCCTTGAAAGTCTAAAAGCCAAAAGATATCAAGCATGTCAAATTTTCTCATTAATGGTTCTTTAATTATATAAGTTTTCTTCACTTGAAATTTGGAAAGATCTTATGGTTGCCTACCTCGAGCTCTTAAATAATTACATCTCTTTGTATTTTCAAATTTCTTTTTCCCTTCTTTGATATTCCTTCTTACGCATAATTTGATGTAATAATGTGTACATAATGGAATTGTGTCATTGATGTATATAAGTTTTGATATTCAAATTAACAAATTGGTGTATTGTTGATTCTGGTATGATACGATTGAGAAATAACATATTTTGTGTTTGATGTAAATATTACTTTTGGATTTTGATTCAAAATGTAGGTTATTTTTTATGTTGAGAATCGAACATGGGACCTTTAGGTCTATCACCACGGTTGAGTTAAATAATCGTTTTGATACCGTGCGCTTTCCAATATACTACAACGGTCCCAGGATCGTGATTGTAAGTAACTCATTTACAACAATACTCTATATAACAACTTCTGGACCTGCGTGATTATATACCTTTTGAACCGTTGTTAAATGCATTTTTCATAGTAGTGAGTGTCTGTTGTATTCCACGTTAATATCATCATAAGGATTAGTGTTGAAATTATTTATTGTTCACCACTATATATTTCAATAACTTGGCATAGTTGTTGATTTATCTTAGTTGAGTTATGAATTCAATAATCAATAGAGTCGTTATTGACGTTGATCACTAGGGATTAGTGATTGAGAGAAAGTGAGAGAGGTTCTCATATTTATGAGGAGTCCTAAATAAAAATTAACTAGGATTAGGAAGAGGCATTGAACATCACGGGGTTGTTGTGCATGGAAGACTATAAGTGTACTAATTTGATTAGTGGATTTCCTTTCTTGGGTATAGTTCCCTCCAAAAGTGCGTGTGGTTTCACCAAACTGGGTTACCAATCTCTTGTGTTCTTTATTAATTTTTTTGTTGCATCATCTTGTATTAGTTAAGTTATATTTCTATCATACTGGTTTAGAAAGTTAAACCAATTGTCCCAATATCGTGTCCAACATTTATCCCCTCGGAACTGAATTTCAATTGACATCAGAGTAGGTTCCCTGTTTTATTTGGGTGAGTTCTAAGGTACTTATTTTGTTCGAGATGGGGAATTCCATTGAAGAAGGAGCAGTTCATAGATCAAATATAACTTTTCCTCCAAATAAGAGAGTCAATGGCAGTTATGGAGATTGTGAAGACCAATGAGAATGTAATTCAGAAGAAATATCAGACTTGCTAAGATCTTTAGTAAAGTCATAACGAAGCTTGACAAAAAAGCTGGGAAGGATGCCCCTACTAATTTCAATAACATTCAACATAAAGAAAAAGATGGTGAAAGACAGAATCTAAACCATTCATACAGGTTGAAAGGGATCCAATGTCTTAAATGCAAAGACTTTGGACATATTCAACATGAATACTCAAGTGTTTTAAGGAAACAAAGAAGAATCTCTAATGTGACTAATAAAGAAGAAGGTGAAACTAATCCAGCAAGCAGCGTTGTAACCTTCAAACACATGAAAGAGGTTATGCATACTAATGAGCCATCAAAGAAATATGTATTACTCATTTTAAAAAAAATCTAGGTAACATGTCTCAACATCTGGTCAAACATGATTACCAGTTCTTAGATTGTATCTCCTTCATTCCCATGCACTATTGTAACATGTATTGTAGCCAAACACATCGTCAACATTTGTATCCTCAGTGGAATAAGAGGTGTCAAAGGCATCATCAACAAGGTTGGGGTGACAAGCCTAATATTCTTGTTGATTGTTTTTCCCATAAGATTTTCTCTTGTGAAGATTTCTATTTTGAAAGTAGCTGCAACAAGAAGTTGATAAGAGTAAGAAAATATGGTAGCTATAAGAGAAAGAAATTTGTTAAGATGAAGACAGATGTTGTCACTACATAGCAGAATGTTAAAGACCATGTATCAGACATCATGGAAGACATGTTAGATACTGAAACTAAACTATAGTACACAAAGCTTGAGAGTTGTTGTAGAGAAAGCTGCCATATGGGTACTGATCTCAAAGTTAAAGAAGGAAATATCTATTAAGTTTGTTAACTTGAGAAGTAAATTAAGGTGTCCAACAAGATGGTTCAACATTTTACTCATGCTTATGAATTACCACATATGGATTTTATGAGATTCAAGCAAGGAGTTGTCATTGAAGGGAAGGCTGATGGTCTGGCTGGAGGTCCTCCTAACATTGAACAACCAACAATTGTTTAGAAGAAGAAGCTAAAGAAGAATAGTGATTGTGGTGTAATTATTCCAATTGGAGTCCCTTCTAATATCTCTGGAGTTTTGATAAACCAAAAACATAATAGTATGGTTGATATTGGTGTTCATCTAAATTAGTTGAACCTTTGGCATAATATGTATGTTTCAGATATTTCTCCCGACAACATTATACATGTTATTAAGTCTGATCTAGCTGTTGGGTGGAAATGTGTTTGATGTCCCACTCCTATATAGGTCTAGAAGAAATCATCATCTCAATCAAAAGGATTTTGGTAAGAAAATCTAGAAAACCAATATGAAAAATCAGAAAGATTATAAAGATGTGCCATGAAAACATCTTGTCTGACATGTTGAAATGGTCTCAAATGTATAAGGAGAATGATGATCATGTCCATGAAGATGTTGAGGTTGAAACAGTTATAGCCAATGATGGTATTGTTAATAACCATGATCATGAAGTAGAAAATGTGGAGACAACGTGTGGAGAAGTGATAAGTAAGGATGGAAACTTACGTATGGTTTGTTCTGTTAATAGAAAGGTATACATGTTGTTTACCAAAGGCACATAATTTATAGATGATATGACTCCCCATTATGATGAAGATTTTGATCTCATTGATCTTGATGTGGAGCAAGTTATTACTATCAAATAAAAAAAATACTATGCTACCTGCCAAAGAAGATGGAAGGATTTGTGATATTGAAACTATAGAGTCTATTGCCCATCTCGGAGCCATCTATTGATACATAAATTATCATGTATTCTGAAGTTCAAACCTTATCAGATGGAAGTGAAAAGTGCCTATCTCATTAAGTACCTAAATTTTGAAGTCAATCAGAATGTCAGTAACTATGCCACTGACAAGTATGGTATCATTAAGAAGGGTGAGTATGTGGAAGTTGAAGACCTTCCTTTTGCCAATATAATGAACAGAATCATAGAGAATTTAATGAATCCCCATGATAAGGCCACTCAAGAAAAGGAGCATGTGATGATTAATATGAATGACAACATTGATGATTCTATCGACGCTAACGAGGGTTTTATCCCTAAGAACAATGATGTTCATGAAGGGTATGAGCCAGTCAATAAATGTGTTACTAAAGATGTTGGTCTTTGGAAAATGTTTGATAAGAAGTCAAGGAAAATGGTTGATAGCAATAAGATTCCAACAAATATTTCTATTACTTCCTTATACAACATGTCTTTCCATTATGAGAAAAGAGTCCTGAAGTAGAAGTATTTGTACCAGAAGTGGATAGCCCTTGAAGGGAAACTGTTCAAAGAAGCTTATGGGAAGAGGATGTTCAACTGTTGGAGGATACCGTTCTGAAAAACAATGAGAATCTTAAGAGAGCTCACATGTATATTGTGTTGGACTTGATATTAAACACACGAGAGGGGATGAATTGTGTGATATGCAAAAACATGGTTTTGAAAACTTTTCGAGATTAAAATCAGAATTAGAAAACATTTTCCTATTTTTAAGCAGCAGAATATAAAAATAAAGTGCAGAGAGTAAAAGAGTTAATGGAAGAAGAAATACACTGAGAGTTATAGAAGTTCGATAAAAAAATAAAAGACCTACTCCTCTCTCCAAGAACTGATCCTGAGAGTTTTAGTAGGTGAAACTCACGAACCTATCAATATCTGACTAAAATCTGAGTTATATCTGAATGTCTTGGTGAATCTAATTTCAAATAAAACAAATCACAGGAAATCCTATCGAAATAATTCAGGAAAAGACCACATTATGAACCTCGCAAAAATGTCAGACTCCAGAAACTCGATATGAGCAGCCCGCCCAATTAGAGAATTTAAATTTTTGCCATAGGCAGTGGCATCAAAATTAACATCACAGCGCATAAATACTCGACGTTGTAAGGGATTGGCACGGATTTGGTCCAAACAGTTATTCAGCATCTCTAGGAACACTCTACTCTTCTTTGAATTGTCATGTGAAGCCGCCTGGCATGATTCTATTCTAGCAGAATGGTAAGGCACATAGCCATCCTGAAAAAACCATTATTAAAGTCAGAGACACTAACAATAACATACAGTATTGCTAATAAGTATATGGCATTTTTAGATATGATTTAATAGTCATAAGACTAGGGAAAACCTGAGGGGAAGATAGCAAAATTATATGCTTAAAATGATCCAAGGTCTTCTGCTGAAAAAAGGGAAGAAATGAAAATAACCATATTAAAAAGGGAAGACTCTGAGCTTATGCTCATATCCATTTGATCCCAATCTTTGTAGAACACTTTCCTTACCATACAAAGTTTATATAGAAATGTATTCCAAATATCTGGATCATCTGTGAAGGTGAGCTGGTGAATGCACTGTGTGCCTTTTAGTTTCTTCAAAATCCATAACCCAGAATTAAAGAGTGAGTTTGAACTGTAAAGATACCCCAAGTGCGGACCAGACACTGAAACATAGGTATGTAAGTATCTTAGAAATGGCTCCATCATGCTATCTGCAACATAGGGATAAAGTTACCACTGAATGTCAAACAGATGAACACATTCAATTCTAAGAGTGGCTGTGGCACCGACCAGCTATTGATGTTCTTATAATGAGGTTCCCAATAGAATGTCCAACAAAACTCAGTCTAATATCTCCCAAATTTGCATATCTCGATGCTTCATCCATTTTGTTTTTAACAAAGGAAACAACTTCCTGTGCTAGCCTTTGTCCCATTTCTCTCAAGTCACCTGATGTTTTATCTTCGTTAGCCTGTGACATCAGAACTTCTACCATGGGATCTATCAAAAGCCATTGATTTCGAATAAGTCGTAGATCCAGATGATGTCCCTACAACATTTCCAGAGACCGAGAGTTAGCATTCAACCAACTGTCAACAAGATATGTGTGTGCGCGCGCACGTGAGAGAGTGTGTGTGTTAATCTTTCTATTATTCTATAACGTTCTTTGTTTCAATTCTACACGTAGCCCACTCAAAAAATTCCCTTAAAAACTCTTGCTCTCTTAAAAATATATAATGTGCGCATAACTTGCCTGAAACCCGTGTACAAAGACAACAATCTTCAACGCACGTACATTGCTTTGTGCGACAGATTCTTTGTTTGCAGTGTCTAAGTTGAGCCCAGCTAGGAAATTATGTGAATCTGCAAGTGTGAAATTTCTCGTGTATGAATTTTCACTGATTGTGCGCTGTGGTGCATTCATCACATGTTCAACAATCACAATTGGTATACGCAAAGGATCTCCATACATTTGCATGTCTTGAATTGATTGGTTGTTAATCTACAAAGTGTAATAATACATTAATAGGCCATGCGTAAATGTAAAACAGGAGCTAGTTGTCCACACTAATAGATAACTACCTTCATTTGTGCAATGCTCCTTCGATGAAGTTCAGCACGTGTAGCTGCAGTTTGAAGAGACTGTGTGATTTAAGAATAAAAGTAATTCAGTTTTTAATCATGTGTATAAAAAGATTTTCTCCGGCTCCTTCGGCAAGCAACTCGCCTGACAATAAAAATTTGGCAGAACATATAAGAACTCACCTCATCAGATAACTTCAACAAACTGGAAACTCTTTTGTGCACCCCTCGATAGGAAGACTCATCATTCCCACTATTTATATAATGATGAGGCATCGCTACCTTAGAGTAGACCATCCATATTGACCATTCTGCTTTCCTATCCCTAGCCCAATCATCACGCAAAAGTTCTAGAATCTTTGTTTCCTTATCTCTAGTAGAAACAAATATAGATCAGCTGATTAAACAGGATAAGGTAATGGTTCATGATACATGCTCGTGTACAAACAATGTAAGAAGCAAACCTGTGAAGTTTTAGAAATGTGTTCCACAAATACAACAATTGATCTCCCGCTGAATGGAAACAGTCCAACAGCTCCCTCTTTGACAAAGGATGAAGCTTTTCAGCAATCAGAAGATCCAAAGCATCATTTCCCCTCTGTACAAGACAAAACAATTGAATTAATAAAAAAAAGAAAAATATATATAAATAGAGAAATGAAATAGCAATGCTATGCAGCATGAGTACATGTAAGGACCTCAAGACTATTTTGTGGATAGCCTTGTGCTGAAATTTCAATATATGTTGCTAACTGATTTGCTTGCACGACAGAACTTAATATTTTCTCATTGTCCAATTTTGACCGAAACTCTGAAATCTCAATAGTCTGACCAACTGCTTCGCTAAGTTTTTGTAATTCTTCAAGTAATATATCACGAGCCGTTAATAATCCCTTAAAAAGCATTACACTTTCCAAATCTACAGGGGCAACTTCTCCCAAGTACTAGTTAGTCACATAAAGCATAAGTTAATGCCTGAAAATAAACATCTAAAAAACATTCAATGTTTAGAGCATACATGGTTCAAAGCGTCATAACTTTTTTCTACAACTTCAGCATTGTGAGAATTTCTGAAATGGAGAATATAAACATGTTATTCTACGTAACCAAACATACATAGATAAAGTTGTAAGCAAATCTGCTCTAATGAACATTTAAACAGTAAATAAAAACAGATAAATGAAGTTCTAATTGATTCATACCGAAAATTAGATGTGACAAACCTGGATACCTTCGATGCATATGGACAAGTGGCAGCTCTCAATAAACTGACATGTACACTGACATCAACAAGAGCAGCATGCAAAACATCAAAATGTACAGGACAGTATGAATGCAGTCCTAAAAGAGCTTTCGGAGGAATTCGGAATTCATGGACAGCAGCAGGGTAAGCATCCAGAGCAGCTTGCAGGTCGGTGCTGTATTTGGTGAATGCCACTCAGTATACAGATTTCACTAAGGATATATCAACTAGAAAGGAACAACCATTTCTTTTGGATCCATACTAGTAAGCCAATAAGTATACTACTTTAATCACTCACTCATTTCCAACCGTAGGAGCATACATAAGCTCAAACTTCAAAATTACAGCAGTTGTAGGTAAACCCTGAAGTTTAGAATCAAGTAGCATAGTTAAGTATTTTGGTAAAGAGAATTCAAGAGAAAGTGAGGGAAAGTAAAATGAGAGGGAACTGGAGAAATCTCTGAAAACTGAATCTGTTATTATCAGTGTTGTAGATAGTGCTTATAAGGATTAGACAATCATCACCTTACAAACTAATTAGCACCTAATATGCAATTGCCATCTTATAATATATCCTTTTCTAGTACCTATCCACTAAAATGAGAAGAAATTAAGAAATATCCTTTACCTTAAATCTACAAAGAGACAAATTAAACGAGATCATTGTACATAAATGAACATCCTGCCTGGCATATTTTATCCGAAAAGGCTGTGTTGAGAAACTGTTGTCTGCATCACCAATTCTCCAAACACCATATACACTGCCAGGACTCAGATCAGGAGCTGTGGAACAGAAATATTTCTATCACATCATTTATATGCAAGCGAATAAAAAAATACATCAAGTGAAGAAGGTAGCTTCATGATAGACTAACAATAAACAAGATACCACAATCTATGCTTTGGAAAAAAATATCCTTGGAAAATTATAAAGCAATCCAGATTTATGATGTAAACAGTGACTGGTTAAATAGCTTTCCATCCCTCTTTCTGAACTATTTCGGGTCTCCGGTTTCAAATTTCACTACACAAAAGGATTGTACTTAGTTCATTTAAGATAACTCAGAGTTAGTAACACTTGAAAGTTGAAACTGTGGAGTGTGTTTCAAAATGCATGAGAGAAATTCTGCCATTCTCCATTAATTTATTAGTGTTGAGATCTCATTTAAACTAGTGATAGGGTTAAAGTAGTCCTAATAACAAGGCTTGCATTCCTAACACCTTGACCTAGATTTTTTTTGTTGAGATAGGCCTAACCCAAACTCTTTTGTCGACATTCACTCTCAGTCAGTCGAGATTTTAGTCCTGCTTCCACCGTGTTGTGCGTGTTCTTGTGCTTCATCCAGCTATTCTCTTTTCCATTGTCATGTTGTTCGCGTTCATTGTGCTTCATCAAGTTATTCTCTTTTTCATTTCATCACTATGTTTCTCAGTTAAAAGTCTCACACCGGACAATATATGGTCTGAACATGTGCTTATGAGTTAGAGCAATCTTCACCCTATAAGTCAGTTTTGTAGGGATGAGTTAGGCTCAACCCACACATTCTAACATGGTATCAAAGTCTGGTTTAAGATCCGTTGGATCATCTGCTATTGGGCCACCCACCATTTATTTCCGCACTCTAGTTATCAGTCTTGGACATGCGCTTATAACTAGAGGCAATCCTCACTGTATAAGTCAGTATTATAGGGATGAGTTAGGCTCAACCCGCATATTCTAACACTCTACATCCAATTGTGATTCAACCAGCTGTGCCTTCTTCAGACTCATTCTCAAGAACCACCATGGCGACTTTGAAATTCTTCGATGAGCCCAAGTGTCTGTCACAATCACCTTCAGCCGCTCCACAATTTTTTGGCGATAGTCCTGAAGTTTCTATTTTTTCTACAATACATCTATCCGCTTATAACAAGCTTAAAGCTTGGTAAACATTAGTAGTATTTATTTTATTTATTCTACGCTATTAGGAAATCATATTACTATTATATGTAAGTAACCCTAGTAGCCCGAAGCAGATTTATTTGACGTATTGCAGTTTAAAGAAATTGAGAGGTTTACTTCAGAGCAGTTCATCCCAAATTGCCATAATGATTTCAAAGTTTCTATTGAAAGAATTAACCACGAAAAAGAAAAGGCATTACCCAATTTCGTCAAGAACCTGAGTAATATAGAGCATAATTACGAAAAATTACCTTCATATTGAACAACTCTAGTTGGAACTCCAAAAGACATATTTTCATTGTCCTCCCATCTCATAGTAACTTTAATCTGATACCATCTATACAAAACAAAATATCGATGTCAGCTAACCAAAATAAAACTTCACACAAAAACAGGAAAGAAGAAAATAGAAAAGTATGAGTGAGTACCCCTGATGCAAAAGGTCAAGATTGTGAAACCTATGAATGTAGATTGCAATCTCCTCCACAGCTTCAAACATGGCCATCAAAATATGCTTTTTCTCATGTTTCTGAAGTCTTGATAAGCCCCAAATCAAAGTCCCTTCAATTCAGATCTTATCAAATCGTTCATGCGTCGTTAACGGTTGATCTAATTAACCATTCAAGATTCACTTAGCACCAACAACAGTTAACTGCAGCTACAAATAAGGATAATAATAGCACACGATCAAAATTCAAAAATGAAATTGTAAATGAAAATACTTGATCGAATGCATTGACAATAGCATACTTTTGAAAGAATCAACTGCAACGAATCAACTGCAACAAATCCACATGCATGCATAATATGAATCACATTATCAATAGTATGGTTTGCAACAAGCTGTAGCAGAATATAACATTGTAAAATTAAGATCATACATATAACAGAAACAAGTTGAATTATGATTAACTCCGCACAAAATGTGATAGCGAAACGAAATTTGCAGGAAAATTTTGCTAACAAAGCTTCGGGCAAAAGAAAGAAAGTGGAAAAAGTTGCATAGAAACGATAAAGAATGATAGAATTGTGATAGAGATGGAAATTGAAACCTGAAATTGGGGAAATGGAATGTGTGGTGATTGCTTGCTAGGGTTTATAGTTTTACGTGAATGATGATTTCAGGTGCTTAGGAAATGAGAAGAAAAGAAGGGAAAACAAGATTAACAGAAATCATGTATTTTTTATACCATATCATGTAATTATGTATATTTGGTTTGATTTTGAAATTTTTTAACTTAAATATTTCTCTTTAATTACTAAAGTAATAAAGTTTATACATAAATACAATTTTGAACGTGTTTGAATTAAATATGTCATGAAAGATTATATATTTTTTAAGATTGAAAAGTCACACACGGAAAGCTCCGTTAGAGTGTGAGGGAATATGTCAGCGTCACCATCGATGTCACCGTTGGCGCCGCCCCCTGATCCACTTAAATGGAGTGGTTTTTCAACCGCTGCAGGAGGAGGGAAAGAGATGGAATGGAGTAGTAGTAGTATGCAGCCTAGGAATGTTGATATCAGTTCTAGGGCGAAGAAGACAACTAATGAAGAAGGTTATCAGAAAGTGTTAAATATGAACACAGACTCGGGTAACATGCAAAAGAGCTAGAAGGATGATTTTATTTCGTATAAAAACATCGTGACGAGGGAGACAGTTAAGCCCATGCAAGAAGTGGAGGAAGAGGAAGAAGAGGATATGCTGGATCAAGAGGAAAATTCATGCTTTGAGTTAGAAGGAATCAAGGTTAAAAGAGGGCAATATATGAGGATATGATTGTCCACAATTCATCCTATCTAAATATGAAGAGAAGAGAATCCAGAGGACTTGGCGACGGGGTGTCATTGTGAAATTGCTAGGGAGAAAAATAGGATACAAGGCTTTGGAAACAAGATTAAAGCAAATGTGGGTGAAGAAAGAGATCATCAGCATCATAGATCTTAGTCACGAGTATTATTTGATAGCTTTTACACATGAAGAAGATAAGAATGCGACTATCTTGGATGGACCTTGGTTCATCTATGATTATTACTTGACAGTCAAGGAGTGGACACCAGATTTTCACCCTGAAAGTGATTCAATTGTTAATGTTGCGGTTTGTATTAGAATCTCGGGACTCCAAATCGAATACTACGACCCTAAAGTATTACATGTTATTGGGGATATGGTAGGACGCACAACTAAAGTTGGTAAAAAAACTTTACAAAGAGAAAGAGGAAAATATGCACGTATCTGTCTTTAAGTGGATATATCAAAACCTTTACTTGCCATATTTTCGATTAAAGATAAGAGCTACAAGGTTGAATTCGAGGGCTTGCATATCTTATGTCTTACATGTGGAAAGTTTGGACATTACAAAGATGGTTGCTCTAGGAGGAGTAAAGGGAATGAGGTGAATACTATTACTGTGGAAAAAGGTAAGGGTATTGACACGGTTGTTCCGATGAGAAACAATGTAAAAGAAGGGAAGGAAATTGATGATGGGCCTTGTCATGTAGTGCAGAAGAAAAGGCGAGGGAGAAAGCCACTGGAGGTGAAGAAAAATCAATGGGCAGCGAGTGAGCGGGTGGTGAAATCTGGATCTAGGTTTCTGGCGTTGGGAGATGGCGTGGGAGACACCAATGGAGTTGAAAAGGAAAGCTTTGATGTACTCTCACTAGAAAAGGAAATGAGTGATAACAATTTAATTGAAAGAAATAATGTGGCAGGCAGAGGCAATGATAAGGAGTTGATGGTGGCAGACTGATAAGTGCAAATTGTAGTTATTTTGTATATACTTTTTGTTGCACTTATCAATGCTTCTGTTATTATTTTGTGAATAATTCCCCGCTTCGTGGTAAATTAGTTTAGTTTGTGTTTATTTGTGTTTATTTGTGTATTTTGTGTATATAGTGTACTGTTTGATGTTTTTCCATTCTTTTTGTAGGAATTCAGGCATTATTGGAGCATTGAGAATAAAGTCCAATTGGAGCTCCAAGATGTGCATTTGATTAATAAAGGAATAAGGCAAAAGAGACAGATTGATTAGAGTTATGCAGGAAGAGTAACAAAAAAATTTGTTTTGGTGTGCCTCGTCGGGCGAAGCCTGAGCGAAGAGCTTGCGCTTCTTCCTTGTCGGGAGAGCCTGGAGGGGAGGTTTTGATCAAATTCCAGTAGCCAATAACTTGGGCTCTCCAGCAACTCGTTGGGCGAGAAATAAGGATGTCGTCGGGCGAGGGTGGATATTTTTGGCCAGTTACATTGGTGGCACAACCTAGGCCTTGCATTTAAGGGTCTTCGTCGGGCGAAGCTTTTAGGTCGTCGGACGACGCGTGCATACCATATTTTTGTATATATATTTCTATTTCATTTCTTTTGTAAGGGTTATGGTTTTGGGTGTGGTTTTCGATCTCCCAAATCCATCAACCATATTTTTATAGTGGATTTTCTTAGAAAACAACTACAGAGCTTGCATACGGATGATCTGGGGTGAATTTATCTTCGATCGGTGCTGACAAACTGGGAGATTTGTGGTTCATTTCTCTTTTTCTTTGTGTATTCTCTTTTAGTTGGGTTTGTATGTATATTTACTTTGAACTCATGTATAGTTGTCGCACATGGAGTTGTATAAAACTTGTTTAAAAATATTTGTCGAATTGTTATCATTGATTTTTGATTTGTGCTAGGGACTTGAGTTTCTATAGGCATATACTCCTTGGATTCTTATCTGGGATGATTATCTGTTAGTTTCTGAATTCTAGAGATAGATTTAGAGTTGACATTCACTTAGGCAGTGTGTGATTAATGCCTCTATGTTGGTTGTGTCGTTCTGAGAGATTGTCGACGTGATTAGGATGGTTGACTTTTGTGTTATTGAGGTGGTTAAGAGATCTCTACCGAGGTGATACAGTAGGCCTATCAATTTGGGTTAGAAATAACTTAGGTTGTGAGTGATATGTGGTGACATTAATGAGTCTAGTAGGTTGAGTATAACTAGTCGATAGGTTTAAGTCTATAAGGAGTGAATTATATGCATTATGTTAATAGTTTTAATTCCTACATTTACTTCCAACCCATTTTTACCCCCGAACTCATTAAAGAATGATTTATCAAATGGCGACTCGATAACCAATCTCTATGGACATGATACGATATAACCTAGATATCACCCGGTAAAATAATACTTTACTTTTTGCCTGTCGCTATGCTGCTTCAGCAAAATGGTGTCATTGTCGGGGATTGGTTTATTGTGCATGAACTTTGATCGGTTTACACTGAGGTATCTAATGATTCAGACTGCAAATGCACAGTCTTGTCGTGTAGTTTTAAAAGATATCGAACCACAAAGACTGATGAATCGAACTACTGTCTTCTATTGTTACTTTGCAAATATAAAGCTAATGAATGTTTGATTGGGTTGTAGGGAAACTAAATACTAAATTAAGTTTAATTTTAATTATCAGTAAGCGGAACTACCAGTATGTAATAGTCGAACCTCGGGAGCTAACAACTAGTTGGGTGTCTTTATATTTTCAAAAAAACTTTCAGCAAAACCTATTTAGTTTAAAAGCCCTCGTCTCACACTGTCGTTTTATTGATCTAGGCTATGCAGTTAAGTCCTAACGTACACTTCCGCCATCCCGCAGGAGTTAAAAACACCTTTTGAAAACGAAATAAAATCTTAATCAACTTTAAAGTGCTTCCGCTGTATTTTAAGCCAATGCCTAATTACTACTATCTAGTTAAAAGATCTCAAACTTCCGCTTTGTTGACCTTAACCTCTATCCGTTCTTTACTTTCGTAACAAAACAATTTAACGATTAAAAATAGTAACTTAGACCAGAAAAAGGTTTTGTAGTAAAAATTATCCCAACTGAGTCACTCGATCCCTTGGTTATGAGACCTTACATACCGGTATACGAATTCTAGCCTAACATAATATCAGACCAAATCACAGAACAATTCCAGAGACAAAACAAAATAAACATGATTATATTAATTAAAAGTAATAACAATTCATAAAAATAAACCTGGTAATAATTCTGGATACAAGTATAATCACTTCTAATTCTTGACTAGAAGCACTCCTGCACAAACTGTAGACTTTGCTTCAGTCGGGAACAGAGACAATCGTACAGAAAAATAAATGCTAGAGGAAGTATAAAATTTACAGGAAAAATAATAATGCTTAAATAAAATTTCCTTAGAAAAAATGAATTCTCAAAAATATCTCCAAAGTCCCCCCCTTGTTCGTTGTGTCCAGGGTCCTATTTATAGCCCTCTGTGTGATATGTTGGTTCTCGGTAATGTAGGAACATTTGTGTTCCTTTGAGAAATAATAGGACTACTGAGACGGTTACGTTTCCATGCATTGACTGAGTGGATCGGAGAAGTAGGATGGACATTGGATTTGCGTTTGAAATAGTTTACTTCCGTTGGATTTGACAGTACGTGGTCAAAGAGGAAGAAAGTGGGCTTGTGACGTTCGTCAAGTCCAAATGACGATGGTCACTTGGTCCATT